CGTGTCATGCTCTCAGACAGCTATATCTTCGGAAAGTCATAACTTTTGCATACGAGCTCCGTTTTTGACGTTCTTTATATCCACGCGTAGGTGGAGACATACTCTACAACTTTCTTTTAGAGCACTAAGGCTAAATAGTACTTTATCCTAAACTCACTTTTTACGATTCCCTGTGTCGTGTCGGATTTGTCGCGAAACTTCGACAGGTCATAACTTCTTCATTATAACTCGGATTCCAGCGTTCTTTATATGTACGGAAACCTTGTTACATATACTAAAATTTAGTTAAGATTATTTATTATAAGTAATCCTCTATCAAAAAGTCATTTTTGACGCTTATCGTCTCTAAATTGACTAGCCCGAATCTGCGGGCGTTACAAAGGAAGCCTTTGGTGTGATAGTTTACTTGGCAAGCATCATCTTCTTCAGCTAGCACATCTCCTAAACCTTTGGTGAGTGTCCAAGATCCAACCTTTTCCTTGCTAAGTTGTTAGATTTCTTGATTTTGTATCTTTTCTTCATGTCTTGATGGATTTGAGTGGTGAGATCTCATAAAGTTTGCAACTTTATGAATCTCCAGGTCACTTAGAGTATTTGGTGCCTTGGATGTGATTTATAAGTGAGCTTTGGTGTCATGCATGGAATCTTGGTCATAAACCATTAGTTTTGACCTAATAAGAGTTCAAGACATGCATTGGACATGCATGTCTGAAAAGCATGGATTTTTATGATAGTTTTGGTACTAGAAACCCTTTTGGAATCGTGGGTCATGAGATCTTCAAGATTAAATGCTTAATGATTAAGCCATGATGTGCTTTCATCCCCTTTTTGGACCTACGGTGAGATCTTTACCTCTTGGAATGTCTTAAGGGATAAAGTTGGAAACTTTATCCATTTAGACAATGGAATGGACTAGATCTGAGCTTTCAAGCTCTTAGAATCGAAGAAAACGGCTTAACCAACTAAGTTGTTTGGAACCCAGTGCCCACGACGTGGCCTTAGGTGGCCACAGTGTGGCGACTGGGCTAGAGTCGTTTGTTTTGTCGCTTTGCTGCCACGCTGTGGCGACCATCTGGAGTTAACTTTGAATTTGACTTTTAACCATCGACTATTGACTTTGACCAAATTTTACTTTAGGTCATTTGGGATATTTTGAATAGTAGATTGAGGCTCGGTCCCTATGTGATGTAACATCCCAAAATTATGAAGTAAAATTTTATTTTTAATTCAACGAAAACATTAATTTTCTTTAAGCGAACATTCAATATTCTTTTTCTAAATATTCAAAAGTACTTTATAAGAAAACAGTTATCAGAGTACAATCCCAAAATCATCATAGTGCGGAAAAATGAGTGGATTTGTTGTGATCAAGTCGGGCCCTTCCCTTTCGAACTGGAAGTACCTGAAATCATAACCATAAAAAATGTAAGCACAAAGCTTAGTGAGTTCCCCAAAATACTACATACCATACATACATTTTCCATGGGCTACCCCCGTGGTCTTATCCCTGCAATGTCATGGGCTACCCCCATGGTCTGACATCCAATTGGCATGGGCTACCCCCATGGTCTTTCCTTAAAATGCTATGGGCTACCCCCATGGTCTTTCCTTAAAATTTCATGGGCTACCCCCATGGTCTTTCCTTAAAATGTCATGGGCTTTCCCCATGGTCTGACATCCAAGTGCCATGGACTACCCCCATGGTTTTTCATACAAATGACACAGGCTACTCCCGGGGTCTTCCAGGCAAGTATCACAAAGACAACTATCATTCCACATAACAAGTAATGGGCCGACATTGGTGCCTTCGACCCATGGAAATAGTGAGAAAACTCACCTCAATTCGTTGATAATCAAATAACTGCTCGGACCGCTGAACCGGATAACCTCGTGCCAACTAACAATAAATACAATCTTAATCAATAATTAACCCAATAACCCAAAATCTGAGGCCCACTCCATAAACCAACTTCCTAAAGGGTGCGTACGCCCAACGTACTCATCAAGGACCAAAAATCCATATTAAGCTCTTAATGGTTAAGACAATGACTTCCAAACTCATATATGACCCTAATGAGATGTCTTAACATGTAAAGTTGGCAACTTTACTCTTTTACATGGCTTAATGGGACCAAATCCTTAATAACATCCATAATAAACATCCAAGCTCATGCATGGTCCAAAATAACTCATCAATATGACATTCTTATGAACAAGGGACCTCCCAAAGGCCAAGATCCAACATTCTAAGCTCTTGGAGTAGCTCATACTCACAAGGATGACTCTAAGGACCAAAATAAACCTAAAATGCCCCTTAAACTAGACCTAACACCTAGAGTCATCAAGATAGAAACTTTATACCTCAAAAAGGTAGATCAAGATGCAACAAGCCTGGATCCAAAAGCTTCAAGCAATCCCATACTTCTCCAAGAAGTTCCTTCTTCTTCCATGAACACCAAAAAGCATGAAATACCACCAAAAGCTAAAAAATCACTCAAATAGGGGATATGGTTTCGTTTCTAGGGTTTAGAGGGATGGAGGCTGAAGATAATGGTGAGTTAAGGAGCTTAAATAGGGTCCAAGACCCTAAATTAGGGTTTGGATCTGACTGGAGTACGCCCCGCATACTTCTGGTACGCCCAGCGTACTCCTTTAAGCACTCGCGATCATTTTGCTTAGTACGCCCAACGTACACCAATGTACACCCCGCGTATTGGCCTTAACACTAGTACGTTATGCGTACACTTGTGTACGCCCCCCGTACTCGCTTAAACCCTAAAACCACCAAACTTCCAAAGGCCGTAACTTCTTCATTATAAGTCCGTTTGCGACGATCCTTATATCCAGGAAAAGAAAAAGAGAAGCTCTACGCTTCTATCAACTCATACTTGCCTTAAAACTTCCCGGACTAAAATCAAATTTCCATAAAAGCCCGAACTGACACTTTACCGATATACCCCTTGGCTCTGAAACACCAGCCAAACTCCCGGATCTTCTAAATTACATTACCCACATCCAAATGGGTCTAAATCTCTTTTCTCAAAGGCCCTAAGCCTGATGATACCCGATCTTCGGCACCACCCCGCATTAGTAAACGATTCGGAACAGGGCGTTACAACTCTCATCCACTTAAATTAGATTTCGTCATCGAAATCTCTCCTTACCACCCTCCTGGAAACCAACGTTGCGATCAAAACCTTCTAGTGCTGAACAAAACATTGATCCCATAATTATCGATCCAACACGATGCTGCTAAAATCCCGAAATCTCATCACTTGCCTTAACCTCCACACAGGTGGAACCAATCCGAAACATAATCACAAGAGTCTCGACCAAAAGTCAACTCAGTACATAGCTCATTCCCTCACATTATACTCTTTGATCACTATACTCTCACTCTTGCTCATATTCACTTCAACAACGGTGGAATAATCAAAATGTAGCCCATCATGGGGTACCTACAGTTCTAGCAAAGAAAAAGAAAGAACATGAAGTGTCCTTTACATAATCTTGAAACTAGTATTGTCTATATATATATATATATATATATATATATATATATATATATATATATATCTCCAGGCTCACACCAACACACCTCATTATTTTCTCTCAGGTAATACTTGACTCGGAGATTTATCTACACTCCAGCTTCGTCATCCAAACCCTTGATCCATGTGACCTTTGAAAAGGTTTAAAAAAACTATCAACTTCATTACAATTGGACATAACGCAAGAGTATGAATTGGACAAGTCAAATGGTGCATGACAAACGTAACAAATCAAGAGAATAACTCTATTACACATTTTAGAATATTTCTTTCTTTTCACCTAAATTTTCTTACGTAATTTTATTTTAATGACATATCCAAAATTTGAGCGAGACAATGAAAGTCTGCATTTTATCACCTTCCGCTCCCAACATTAATTTTGATCGAATTGCCTACTACAATTTACAACCACATTTAACATATTCCGATTTACACCCACAAAACAAAATAATAAAAATATATTCAAAAAAAATAATAATAGGAGAAGATGAGGTAAGCGAATCATAAAAGCACATAGGGTAGGGTAGGTACGGCCCCAACCCCGATGTGACTGTCTTAACAAGGCCTAGACATGTTATATGTCTGTAACTACCTCCTATCTCCTCTTCTATTTAAAGTAAATTAATTACAAAGATAGATGATTTTTGCAGCTTCTGTTTTTGTGGCATGCCAGAAAGTTTACTTCCAATTTTGGTACAATTTTTTTCAGGCCATGACCATAACCTGACGACAACTCGACTTATGTTACTATTATGATTATGATGATTGGCCTCTCATTTTCTTTTTCACGAGGGGCAGAGTCAAAGGCAAGGCAACAAATAACCGTAATCAATCAATGAATGCCATAAATCTATCTAACACATACCAATCCAATCAATAATCTAACAAACAATACCTAGCTATATTATATTATATTATATTTTCACTTTTCAATAATCTATCTCTATCACTTCCATTTTTGTCACAACCCTACCATTCACCATACCCATACCCTTGCTCCTTGCTAACTTGGACTGAGAATGAAAAACACAATTCATTGTCAGGTGGCTCAATAATAACCGAAAAGGTGCTGTTTTTTTTTTTACTTGATAGGGACAAGAGTCGAGAAGATGGTATTTTCTTTTTCACATGATGAAGAATGAACAAGGTAATAGAGAAAATGTTGAGTTTTAAACCATCATTTATCGAGAAAACAAAACATGTCCAATACAGCCTGAGTTTACAAAACAAAAACTATTTTCATTCTAGTTATATGTATGTATATTCAAGATTTGTTGTATTACAAGCATGCGTGAAAGAAATGAAAGGAAAAAAAAAAAAAAAAAAAAAAGAATAAAAGGGGAGACTGAGCTATAAATATATTATATATGATATGAAGTATGAGGTCCTTGGCTTCCTTCCTTGCTAGAAAACAAGTAAAAGTGATTCTATGAGAGCTTGAGTGCCATTTCCTGAAGAAGAGCTCTTTTCTGAGATGCATTTATGACATTAGTTGTTTCCGCATGTGCCAGCACATCAGCCACTATAGCTGCTGCATGACCAAGGGGTTCCTCACCCGACCTTTTCAGCATGAAAGCCTGTTATTATTCAAATCCAAACACCACAACACATTTATATCATCATAGACTATTCTAACGTGGCAAGAATTTTCATTAAAAATAAAAAAAAATAAAAACCTGGCCATGATGTGAAATGGTCAAAGTGCATGGTGATTGCATCCATGGTTCGCCATCTATCTGAACAGGCAATGGAGCAAGAAGCTGAATTTTTATGCTCTGCCCCTGTGCCAGCCTTCGAGCTCGAGACAGCCCTACCTGTTAAGTTTTAACATAATTCCTCCAGTCAGCTCTGCATCTGCTGTGTGTTTCTTCAACTTAAATGCAACAAATACCATCCTACTTTCATTTCTTCTTCATATTTAATTTAACCATTCATTCTAAGTTTCACTGCTATAAGTATAACTAGATCGATTTTTTGGAAGTGTAACGCTATATTCAAGTAACAGAAAGAAATAAAAAGCAGGATGCTATAATTATAATACACAGATAAATGAGAGTATGTTGCTGTTTCTTCCATTTAACCTTTTTTCTTGGTGAGGTTGTTAGCAAGTTACAGATACTCCAAAAGAAGTTCTTTCAGGTGAGAAGACAAGAGAAGAGATAAATAGTTTCTTAATAGTTAGTATAATGATAAACTGCATTTTTGAAGTAACATTACCTGAAGTTTTCCAAGATGCCAGGTCCCTGATATGCTCACAACTTCCAGAATCTTATCATGCATAGATTGAGGATCAAAATTATCATAGTTGTCATCTTCATTCTGCCACAAGTCTACACCACCCATATAGCTTCCAATATTCGCAACAAGAACACACCCTCCGCATCCTATACATACAATGTCATCGTCATGTCATACATCATTATAAAGTTCTGTTAGTATATCATATAAATGTATGATGATAGATGAGAAATAACAATCACCAACCTCAGGGACCTCAATATCAACACCATCTACCTCCACTTTCACCTGCCAAGGGTAATCTTGGAATGTTCTATCCATGATGGTTCTCGCACCTTCTCTAGCATACAAAACTTTATTCATAAACTGGTTATAAAACTTCTCTGGATTCTCCTCTCTCAGATTATGAATTTCTAAAGCACCTTCGCATCACATCCTACACCTGTAGCAACAAGAGACGATTCAATTCATTTATTAATGAAAAACTATACATACATAGACAGATAGATGGTTTAAAGTTTAAAGAGATGTGACATACCAAGATAATTATTCATAAAATTTTGGTGAACGAAGCTGTTTTCCCTTCTGATTTGTTATAGAAACCTTCCAACGATCAAGAATGGTGACAGCAGCATGTTCTATGTCTTGCAGCATTGTACAGAGGCCACCATGTTTCTCTACGGACCCCAAACCACCTCCCCAGCCTAAAACTCTTGCCAGGTCATTTCCAGTGCCAGCTGGCAGAATAGCAACTGGTGGTGGAGATACAAAGTTTTGCTTTTCAATGGCATCCAATACCCACCCAACTGTCCCATCTCCACCACATATAAGAATTCTAAAATTCGCGACTTTTCTGAATAGATAAAGACCAACTTCTGGCCCCTCTGTTGAACTCAACTCAAACACCTAAACAACATTAAACCAAAGGTTTACTTATATTTGCATCATAAAGTTGAAACAATAATATAAGTTGAACCTATCGCAGGAGTGTTTTGAAATCTTAGATTAATTTCACTGATTAGATATTATATTAGATATGATGATGACATTAAAGCAAGTATGATTAATGTTTATTTGTATTTGTGTCATCCTTTCCCCCAACAACCTATAAATAACTATTCAGTTCTCAAAAAGGTTACAGATGGATACGTCTCTAAGTTTGCTAGAAAAATTTGTTAAGAGCACTCTGTGTGAAAATTAGTGGGAAGTGTGAATTCTCTGTGTGAGAACTCATCACTGATATGAGCTCTCTCATTAGAATAGCTTGTGAGAATTGTAAGTGTGTGCTTCAATTCTGGTAACTGTTTAATCCACATTTTAGAACACTTGTAATTTTCATTCGTAATAGATAATTATTTGCCGATTTGATTATGTTGATCAACACCTCATTTATTGTCTATCAATTACTCGTCTACCAATTGAATTGTGTTAATTATGCTAACTAATTTATTGAATTTAGTTCAATTGCTCATCTATAACCTATCTGGGATCAACACCTTATGATACAAGCATATGAAACACTGACCTGAACAGGGTTCAAGAGGATATTCATCCTTAACCTGAGTGAATCACCTCTCTGAGCACCACTCTTCTTGTTAATAAAGACTAAAAGAGGCCTCGAATCTGGACCCATATCAGTCAACTCATATTTCTGCTTCATCCCAACTATATGTGACTCATCTCTCTGACTGTTTGATATGTTTCTTTTAAAACTCAACTTTCGGCCGAACTTGTTGACCACATCACCATCTTGTTGTTGACTTGTAACCTCTGTGTTTGTGTTTGTGTTTGTGTTCGTATTCGTATTCCCATTGTAGTTCTCTTTTGAGGCACCATTTGCTATATTAATATCTGTTGTACTTTCTGTAGAAGCTTCCTCTACACTACCATTACTAATATCCACAGGGACTTCGTTTTCTTTCTTGGTTTTCTTACTTTGATTTCTAATACTTGCACGTACAGAAGATGCAATCTCATTAGCTCCATGAGTGATGGAACTCAAGATTCCACCAGATGAAGACCTCCTGAGCTCCTTAACATGAAGAGGTGACACAATCAGCCTTCTAAAAGGACCCAAATCACAAACATCACCTGTGTCACTATAAAGACTACTATGACAATCAACATGAACCAAACGCTGACACCATAAGCAACACCATATTGGTGACCCCCCTAGAAAGGAAGCACTACAGGGCTCTTCACAATGGCTGCAAAAAGAGATTTCATCAGGTTGGTCCACCACCTCAGTCCACCTAATAGCCCACAGGTGTAACACACGTGTTGAACCAATCATTGATACACACTTACAGTCTCTGTGAGCCTTTGAGGAACAACTGAGGTGAGCTGCAGCCCCACATATTCTACAACGGTGAATAAAGCTATCTGAAGCCACCATTGGGCCAAGTGTCTGTGAAGATGACACTGATTTTAAGCATACACAGCAGTTTAAGTTTTTCCCACGAGATCCAGACTCAAGATACCAAGTATGAGCAGCTACTGGAACCCTGCTTCTTGATTTTGGATCCTTCTTTTTTTTAGCAGTAGCTTTCATTAAGCTTAGACTGATGTTTCTTCTCCATTGGAATGCGGTATACACAATGGTCAAGATACCAATAATGCCAGCAATACAGCAAGAGATGATGAAGACATGTGATTCTGCCAACTCAGATGGATTCCTGTTTATCCATGCTGGAGGCAAAATATCAGCTTGTCTGTAGTCATCCATCCTCTAATTTCTGGTATTCTGCATTCTACAAGTTCCAACTCATGCTCTCTGAAAGCAGAGTTAATATAAACGGTGATGGTGTTTCACACCATCATGCATTCTAGAAAAGTTTTCCAATAAGTTTAACAAGATCTGTCTTCAAAACTTCAGCCGGGAGCAGATAAACCTGTATCCAGGAAGAACCTAAAAACAAAGATATTTTACCTACAAAACAAGATAAATTGTGTACAAGAACTATGAGCAACCAAACAAAAGTAATACAATTAAAAACCTATGAGAATTGCAGGCAAACTTCTAAATGGACTTGCCCTAGGCTACTACTCCACCCTACCACCAGAAAAGTAAGTAACAGAGTTCTGTCTAGAGCTACGAACCCCACCAAGCACTTACGGGTTTTTCGGTTTTCACTTTTCAATTTGTTCACCAATAAGTGAATCAAAACATAGGCTACTGCAAGAACAATTTCCTAGGTTTTCGAATACATTTAATACACGTATAGTATCAGTACACAAGGGGTTTTTTCTTAGTATGCACCAGAAGTAAAGCAGGAGACGCACATACCCACACCCGAAAAAAATAAAAATAAAAAAACTACAAATTTAAAAATCACTATCAAAAGAACACACAAATATTCAATCAATCAAACGTTTAAATGAATACTTACAAGGTGTTTCTGTCTGTAATGATCCAACCAACAGAAAGATCTCGATTAAGAGGAGTGAGATGAAAAACCCTAAACGGAAACAAGTCTCCTCAATCACGCAAACAGCAAAAAGCGAAAAAGTAACGAATACGTCGATAATATTTCGATTCCCAGATCTGTATAGCTTTGCCCTTTAGCTATATATACATATAATCGATCTGTATGTATACGTGTGATTTTGTTCATAATTTTTCGAAATATTTTTCGCTTTTTTTTCTTTGTTGGGGAAAAGAAGATTCAGATTCCTTCCAATTTTGTGTGCGCGCGAGACGAGGAGGAGATATCAGCGATTAAAACGTGGCGAGTCAATGAAGGTGCCGACGTGACTTTGAAAAAAAAGAAGTGGGGTCCACTACGATTCTTTTCCAAGAGAAAACCAACCACGTGGCAGTCACGTGGCAACTGTGATTCCGTGATGGGTGTGTTTGGCTACAAGACGAATAAGGGACAGTTCTACTAACATTTTTCTAAGTTAAGACCCCTTGACGTTCTTTGTACCGCATATTGCGGTAAGTGACTTGGGGTTGCGGTGTGCGGTAAACATCACATGAGATCGACCTAAAAAAAAAAACTGTGGTATACCTCCCGCAAGTTACAATTTTACTGCACCTTACTCTTTGAATTGTGACCGTTTGTAGTCATCCTCAATGGCTAAAATGCTGAATTATTAATTTTAAATTTTTTTTTTTAATTTTAATTTTTTTTCAATGGCTAAAATGTTGAATTTTTAAGAGAAATTGACTCTGGAAGGTAACTAACTATTGCGTTTGTTCTCATTTGGTCACTTTCCTTTTTTTTGTACTCAATATACCATTGAATTTGTTGTTTGTGTTCACCAAGTTCGATGGTATATTGAGTACAAAAAAATGAAAGGGACCAAATAAGAACAAATTCTACAGTTGGTTACCCTCCTGTGTCATTTTCACCAAAAAGTTAAATGAAATTAAAGTTGCAAAAGTATCAAAGACTGCAATCTTCTTTGGCCATAACGTACATGAAGAGTGTTTCGGAGGGGTAGCTTCGTTAAAACATGGTTTATGTTATGTTTACTGTGGTTAGCTGTCAACACCTCTCTGCAAAAGGATATGACTGTGTATGAAAGGTATATTTATCAACATAAACGTTTACCTCAAGGTATATTATGGTGATGAGTCTGCAAAAGCTGCATGATCTTGTACATATTGATGTTGTATCTTCTCCCATGAATTCGATCTTAAAGCCAAGTAAACTAAAAAATCATAGCACTTGTGATTCCACTCGTTTGTAGACTTGTCCAGAATCCATGATACGATAAATCATTTGATTGGAAATGTAAATGTAGTCATGAAATTCACCTGATTAGTTAAGATTCCCCTAATAAATATTCAAGTGCATTACAAAGTTGTACATGTATGAATAATGTTCTTTCGTGGGTTATGTTTTGAAGAGAAGCAAAAATGAATCTCACAAATCATTAATATAAGCAGGATATAACGTGGGATTTACTGTAAATGAGTAAAAGGAAAATGACTCAGGAGGGTAACCAACTGTTGAGTTTGTCCTCATTTGGTCCATTTCCTTTTTTTGTACTCAATATACCATCGAACTTGTTGTTTGTGTTCACCATGACCCTTTGACCGGCTATCACAAGTGATAGCCAGTCAAAAGGGTTTTGGTGAACACAAACAACAAGTTCGATGGTATATTGAGTACAAAAAAAGGAAATGGACCAAATGAGAACAAACGCAACAGTTAGTTACCCTCAAAGGTCATTTCCCCAATTTTTAATTTTAACTTTTTTTTCAAAAACTATTATAAATACACTACTATTTATTATATTTTTCACACACAAACCACTTTCAATGTCGTTTTTATTTAATTGTCATTTTATATGTCGTGTTCGAATTTAATTGTCATTTTTTAGTAATGTGATCGTTTTTAAATGTAGCACCCGATTCCTGGTACGTATTTAAATTAAAGAAAATATTGCATTTTACTCTGGGACTCGGCGAGTTGGAGGCCCAACTCGTCGAGTAGACTCGACTGACGATCGGGGGTTTAAGTGACCTACTCGACGAGTCGGAAGACCCACTCGACGAGTAGGAGCTGTCTGGACAAAACCCTAATATTTGGGGTTTGCACCCTATTTAAACACTTTATCTCGTCCCAACCCAGCCTCCATCACCCTCCCAACTCAGAGGAACCCTAGATTGAAACCCTAAGCCCTTGTTTGTGTGCTCTTAAGCCATTTTGTGCATTCTTGGAGATTTGAATTTTGAAAAAGGAAGGAAAGACTTGGAGATCCAAGAGGAGGTCAGTAGATCCAGAGATTTGGTTGCATTTCCAGCTTGTTGGAGGTAAAAAGCTCCAACCTTGACTTCTTATTTGATAGATCTACTTTAGGGCTTGAATCTTGACATCTTTAGGGTGTTCCTAAACCATTTCGGGTTTAGAGGGTAATGTAGAAGTAATGGCTTCAGATCTTGGACCTTGGAGGGTTCTCATGGCATAAAGGTGCCAACTTTATGGCCATGAGAGCCCCATGCATCTTGTAGATCTCATTTTTGGTCCTTTTGAGCTTAAAGGCCCATGCATGGACGTAAAGTTCGTCACTTTACGTGTTATATCGACCCTAAGAGGTCAGGTCTACCCTTGGGATGAAATAAGCTCAACAGAAATCGAGTCTATGGAACAAGGACTTAGTGGACTCGGCGAGTTGTTCTTGGGACTCGGCGAGTCGGCTAATGGCTTCCCGACCTTTGTTGTTTTGAAGAACCTAGTTGAGTCTAGAAAATGACTCAACAAAGAATGGACGTGATTATGGACCTGGAAGTCATAGGACTCGGCGAGTGTATGAACAGACTCGGTGAGTCCAAGGCAATCTCCCAACTTATGAAGACGGACTCGGCGAGTTCAAGAGGAACTCGGTGATTCATCGACTGAGCATCTTCTTATGGATGAAGATGAACTTGGCGAGTTCAAGAACGAACTCGACGAGTCGGTTGAAGATTTGTCTGATGTGTTGTTGAAGGCGAACTCGTCGATCTCTTGCTAGACTCGAAGGGTAGGAACGGGTTTATGACTTCTTGTGGTCATGGGGACTCGACGAGTTGGCGGGCCAACTCGGCGAGTCGAGTCAACCAGATGTTGACTTTGACCAAAGATTTGACTTGGACATTGACTGGGATTGAGTGACCCTTGTAAGGGTTACGAGTATGAGTTGATAACTTAGAAGAGTTGTCGTGTAGGGATTGAGGAGTCGGGGAGAGTCGACTTCCACACCGAGATCAGTGCAGACACTACGCGACATTGAGGTGAGTTACCTTCTGGTAGGAGTGGTCTACGGCCATAATGTCGGCCCACTAGTAGGAGTTGTTTGCTAGATGATTGTCTTTGTGATGATTATCTGATGTGGTTATCCGATATGCTTTATGTGCTAGGATGCTATGACACATGTGTTAGTAATGGTAGGGGTGGGATAGCCCTAGTTACCGGTTGAAAGATACCGAAGGGGTAGATAGTACCCATGCATGCCTAGCAGTATGATTATGATATGCTATAATCCGATCAGTATGCTTATGATATTTTATTATGAGATAGTGGTAGGGGGTGACATAGTCCCCAGTTACCGGTTGAAAGATACCGAAAGGGAGGTTAGCTCCCGGTTACCGTTTGAAAGATACCGAAAGGGAGGTTAGCTCCCGGTTACCGATTGAAAGATACCGAAGGGGAGGTTAGTTCCCGGCTACCGGTTGAAAGATACCGAAGGGGAGGTTAGCTCCCGGTTACCGGTTGAAAGATACCGAAGGGGAGGTTAGTTCCCGACTACCGGTTGAAAGATACTGAAGGGGAGTCCAGCTCCCAGATATGCCAGACTGATATCGGTTGAAAGATACCGATGGATAGGCTTTATGTGGTATGTGGTATGATGGGGGAACTCACTAAGCTTCGTGCTTACAGTTTTCAGTTTTGTTTCAGGTACCTCTTCAGCGAAGGGGAAGGTGCCGGCGTGGTAGCGGCACATCACACTCACACATGATTTCCGCATTGAGTTTTCTGGGATTGTACTCTGATTTTTATTACTATTGATGATATGGTTTTGAGACACGATGTTACAGTTTTATAAATTGATATGACATTGGCAATGTTTTTGGTAAACTAATTTATGAGTTACTTATTTAAAATGAAATTTTTGGCTTTGAAAATTGGGATGTTACAAGTTGGTATCAGAGCCTTAGTTTGAGAGATTCGGATACACTCTCGGGTGTGTCTGAGCTAAAACTGAGGACGTGGTATGAAAAATTTCAAAAGAAAATCATTTTATGAAAAGAAGTTTGAAAAGAGAAAGAGGAACTTTGGAAAAGAACAAGATGTGTGATGTGCGCGACCGGCCGAGCTCAAGTATGTTTTCCCCAAGATACCCATACATGTTATGTTATGATATGATATGATTATGAGAACTGCATGCTAGATTAGGGCTAGAGGATCTAGGAAGGATGCCTTATATGCCTATTGTATATGTATGAGAACTGCATGCTAGATTAGGGCTAAGGATCTAGGAAGATGCCTGATATGCCTGCTATGTGTGTTTTGAGCTGCAAGATGTTACTGATTAGTCAGTTATATGATAGCTTGGATAGAGTATGATTGGATTGGGTTACTCAATGCCCGAATGTTGTTGCTTTGTGCTTCGGGAGTCCTAGTTATCTTTAGCTAACTAGTAAACGAATACGTTAAGTTACATATTGCAAGGACGAAATAATTTCAGAATGTTAGGTCCAGCCTTACTGCGCAGCTCTTGTTTGAGTCCAACCGTTGTAGGATAGGACTTTTCATTCGAATAATTATTTGGTCTTAGTGATATGTAATGGTATTCGCAAGCTAGTTAGGTAAGGGTGGCAGGGGTTCCTTATGCAGCTGATGGCAGAGAGTAGGTCGGAGAGTTACCCTAGGGTAAGCCTAGGACGAGATTGGAAAAGAGTGTAACAGTAGTAGAAGGGACTTGGTGAAGTCGAAGCAATCCTTGAGGAAAGTACGGATAGATGTGGAAGGTAGTATGGGCCCGTACTACTGAAAGCAGAGGATCCGTACTCGAGTCAAGGAGGGCCGAGATTGAACCATAAAACTTGTAGAGTGTATGAGACCTCCTGAGGTTTATGTATGATTCTGACAGTTATGTGTTATGTTTCAGAATGGTGATGATCACACGTCACGGAGGAGGAGGTTCAGGGTCAGGATCCGGTTCAGGATCAGGTTCGGAAGCAGGTACCGAGCCAGTTGATGGGGGACTACGTGAGTTCATTGCTTCTGAGATCACGAGAGGTATCCTTGAGTCGACCCCGGTGATTTTCGGGTCGATCAAGGAAGGAATCATTGAGTTTATGGAGGATCGCCTCAGGGCGTTCAGGAGCGATATGGCATCCAGTCAGTCAGGATCACGCACACTGTCCTTCAAGGACTTCAGGAGCAGTGTGTAACGCCCGTAGATCCGGGCTAGTCAATTTAGAGATAATAGGGGTCGAAAACGACTTTTCGACAAAAGATTATTTAGCCAAGTTGTAGAATATGTCTCAAGGGTTTCGTACATATAAAGAACGCCGAAATCCGAGTTATAACGAAGAAGTTATGGCCCGTCGAAGTTTTTCGGCAAAACCGGCACGACA